TCACAGAAGGAACGAAGCTAGAGTGAATGCCATCGGACATGACTTGTCAAAGTTTGAGGAGGGACAATGCGTTCATCAGGACTGAAAACTACAGGAGGCAAGTCGAAGAATACCACGATGCGAGGGTCAGACCGAGACTATTTCAGGTCGGAGACCTAGTTCTAAGAAGGAGGTCTGCACGCAAACCCTTGGAAGGTGGAAAGTTTGCCAAAAATTGGGAAGGGCCTTACAAAATCAAAGGGATCATTGGGCCCGGGACTTACAAGCTGTGTACTCTCAAAGGAAAGCAGATAGAAAGGGTGTGGAATTCGGAACACTTGATGAAATTCTACCAATAGGTTTGTAATCCCGATTTAAGGTTTATTCAATAAAGTTTGTTTTCTTTCACAAATGTCCTTATAAAATTGTGAAGGTTCTTTGAACCACAAAAAAAAAACTAAGGCTATGCGTAATTTTGGTACTCGCAAAAGTCAAAATCAAAATTCCAGACTCATCCAAATTCTGGAAGCTCAACTTAGTCTTATCATAAGACGAGAGCGGGAATAAACGACCTTTTCAAGGTCAAACAGCCTTATAAACAAAATTAAATTTCCTCAAACATGAAAGGAAGGATGAACTAAAGGAATTAATTTTGCACCGGAGAGGCCACCAGGCCTTTCTCAAGGTCAAAACTGATTTACAAAGGCTAAAGGATGAACTAAAGGAATTAACTTTGCACCGGAGAGGCCACCAGGCCTCGCCAATTAAAGAGGATTGTCACTAAGGTCTAAGTTACCTAAGTGAATAGAACCCACCCTATTCCGGTTCAGACAATAAGAACCCAGGGGTTATAATTGGTAAAGCTCTCCAAACTGGTTCAGAAATTAAGAACCCATGGAAAGCAACCTTGACCGGGAAATCAAGGCAAAAACAATAAGGACAAAAGTGATAAGAAATAAACTTGGAAACATGCGAGCCAAGTCAGACCTCGAGGTCACCCCAGGGCCCCAGATCATGCAATCACAGGGATGAAGGCCAACTTCCCAAGAAGGGTCAACAAAGACAGAGACCAGCCTCAAAATCAGGGCTGGGCGACTTAGATTGTGCTTAAAGAGGGTTAGGCAAAACAAATAACTAGCCCCCGAAACAGGCAGAATGAAGCAAAAAGCGGCAAACATCACATACGCCAAAGATAAAATGCAGAGAAGTAAGATGTTTGTTTAGAAGCCACCCCTAGAGAGAGAAAGAAAATATCTGTAGAACCCTAGTGCTACAACACGTTTTTCATCGATGCGACTTCATTCACTGTTGGATCGGGCTGAAATTTTGGCAGCATGTTTGTGACTTTGCTGCTTCAATCCGAGCGGTTGGGTCGGTAAGAAGATGTCTGGAGTGGGAGAAATCGATCTCGCACAGTAGTACCGAAAATCTCCCAAGAAACAAAATTCGTCTAGAATATTCATGGTTTTCAAGAAATCAGTCAAAGATGATCTAGGTAAGATGGAAATTCTGAAAAAGAGTATCGAATCTTGAACCCTTCCACATGGGATTTCCGTCAACTACACTACAATATTCAGCCGCTCGATCCTTTGCGACTGATATCACGGAGCAGCGTGATTAATCTACGAGGATTCAACCGCCCTAAGATTTCAGTACAATTACTCCGCCATGGCGCCGTCGATCATCCCCAGCAGCACCGACTGAGTCGCAGCAACACCTCTCTACGTTCGCCTCCAGCAGCCAATCGGAACTCCCTCTCGCCGGAGGCGACCGCACAGAAGGGTCCCCTTTTTCTTATCCTCCGGCGGCGGCACTGAATAGTAAAGATAAACTAGACTTCATGAAGAACATGCTCAAAAATTTTCATCAAAAAATTCCACCGGGAAGTGCCCGAAATGCCCTCGGCCAGACGGCGGTTCCCGTCAGGCCGGATGGACATGAAAAGTTGTCTATATATATATCCAATTTAAAGTTATACATATACTCCCTCCGTCCCAATTTGTTTTGCAAAATTTCCTTTTTTGTCCGTCCCAAAATGATTTTCCACTTTCTATTTAAGGTATGGAAGTATGAACAAAATGACTGGTCTGCCCTTACTTTTACCTTTGGCATTTTCTACTCCCACCCACCCCATTCATGGAAGAGAAAATTAATTTCAATCTACCCTCTTCTCTCCCCTCTTCAATTACACGTTCTTCTCTCCCCTCTTACTTCGTATTCCATTTTCGATCTAGCTTCTCCCAGTGGCGGAGCCAGAGAAATGGCTTGGTGGGTGGGGGGGGGGGTCGAAAATCAACTGTGTACAAAATGATAATGGGAGATCGTTTTTAGATAATATCTGAGTCGAATGTTTCATTTGTAGTTTAGATAAATAGGCACTCGTAGCAATAAGAGTTATAAGATAGATTGCCTTTTTTCTGTTTCTGAATCATGTCACGTAAATAATGAGTTGATTATACGTTATTTTTAAAATTTGGGAAATGAATCAATATTACACATCAAATTTTGCCGATTTTTACGTATAGATAGTGCTAATTTTCCAGAAGTCATAACTTTTTACTCGTAATGAGTTACGGGGGCCATAATATATCAAATCGAAGATATTTCAGAGCTCTATACTCTCAAACTTTCAGCGGGGTAGGCTGACCATCCTGACCCCCCCTTGGCTCTGCCCCTGGCTTCTCCCTTTCAGTTCCATGGCTTTTATCTCCCACCAACACCTCTCTTCAACTTCTCCATCTATGTGAAATCAAATCTGAAATATTCACGGCTTTTATCCATCTCGTCCTATCGGGTAACATCATTGGAGGAATAAGAGGTGTCCGTGACGGCGGTCATACCGGCGGCGCTGCTATTCAAGGAGACCTGGAAAGTCCCTGTCGATGTTGAGCATGACTTCGCCGGAGCACCCATCCACCCCTTGAGCAATCTTGCGATGTTCTCCGCGCTGGAAGCGTATAATTAACGCGGCGGCGTTGACGTTGTTATTATTACACTGCAGCAGCAGCAGCAACGCGTGGAAGGCGAAATCCACAGGGATAAGAGTTATGTGATGGACATCCTCAAGAGTTAACAAAGCATCATTTAGGGCTTGTTTGGATGTGTTTATATCCGCTTGAAGCATCCTCTCCCACGGGCCCTTTGAGGAAGACCTATAGAATAGAGATTGAAGATGAAGAGGAGAATCCATGGCTTTTATCTCCCACCATCACCTCTCTTCAACTTCTCCATCTCTTTGAAATCGAATCTGAAATACTCCATATTCATCTCCTTGGTCAACGATACTCCTTTGGTCTGTGAATTTTGCGATGATTCTCAAAATCGAATCTGAATACTCCCTGCAGCTTGTGCGTATGTTTAGAGTGCTTTTGATTGTACTTTTTCACCTTTTTCATTTTCTTCTATATTTTAAGAGGCAAAGGCAAAATTGGAAGCTCAAAATAAATTTATAACCTTTCTTAATCCTCGTGCCGGTCAAAGTTTGCACCTCAATTCGGGATGGAGAGTATTTTTGTGATACCTAAAGGGAACTTATACAACAAGTACAAAAATTTAAGATCGATGTGTCATTGGCCGAGCAGAAAGAGGTGCAGGGATAGTTTTGCCTCTTGGATGAGGTCAAGAGTTCGACTCCCTCACCTGCAATAGTTTTTTATTTTCTTTTGCCGTTGAAGCCTTAAGCAAATTGTTATTGGTTTTACATTATTCTTTTTATTTTTTTCTTTGTTAGAAAGATCTAAAGTGCATCAATTTACTTCAAATTCTAATTTCACATATGAATTGACTTTGTGCATAATGTAAAGTATTTTTTTATATACTTGTGAATTTTAAATTTATATTAATTCTAACTAGATGCTCCCTCCTTTACTTAGTTGATTCATATAGATATTGACATTATTTTGCACAAATTACAGATTCCATGTGATAAAATATTTCTAACAAAGTGAAATTTAATTAAACATGATATCACAATGTTTTTGACGAGAAAATATTTTGTTATTTATAATTAATTTTCCATTTTTCTTGATCTGATTAGTCTAATTTTTCTAGTAATTTTTTCCCTTAATCTAAGGTAAATTCGCCCCCGCTGGCGAATTTTTCTGGATACGCCACTGGTTCTTCCAAATAAACCAACATACAATACCCGGTAAGCAGCGTTTAAAAGCATCATCTAAACTCTTGGAACCAGCCTTTAGCCACCATTGAAAGAGGACATGTCTAATGGTGACAGTGTGGGAGGGAAATGGAATTCCGAATATGCCCATGATATATTATTCCCAGATAGGCCTAATTTTAGTACAAGTCAGAAAAATATGGTCCATGCAAATAGAGGGATTTAACACAGTATGAAATCTACTTAAATTGTCAGTGATAGGCAATATAGGGGATGTTTGGAACTGATTTTGCTTCTGCTTCTTCTTTAAAAGCAGAAGCAGAATCAGTTTTTAGAAGCTGGTACCCCCCAGCTTCTAAAAAAACTGATTCTGAGAGTAAATTAGAGCTCCAGAAGTGATTATGGAATTTTACCCAAACACTCCAGCTTCAGCATCTGCTCCATGAAGGAGCAGAATCAATTTTGAGAATCCGATCCAAACACCCCCATACACTTTAGCAATTTCCACTGGAAAAGTCTAATTTTAAGAGGTAGTTTAGAGTTCCAAACATGTTGATAAGTGAACTGGCTAGGCAGCTCATCCCTTACCTCTTCATAGGCAGATTTGAGTGAGAACCTGCCATCTGAATATAACATTTAAAAATAACCATGAGTACATTAAGCACAATAAAGATTTCAAATGAACAAACAATAATTATGAGTACTTTTTTTGGCGGGAAACATTTACCACAATTTAATAATAAGGAAAAAAAGTATAAGGAAAAAGCCAAGGTGTGACTAGTCAAGTTTGGAAAATATTTCAGTGAAAAATAATTTATTTTCTCAAGATTTTTTTGACTAAACTCAAGATTGTTTTATGACATTCAAAACTACTAATGATCGACTAAACTATCCTGTCTACACTATGTTGGTCTGTAATACATTTATTAATACGTGTGCATTATTTAAATGAATTTATGTTTTACATAAAAAGAATGTAATGTCTAAAAGAATTGTCCATTGATATGTCATTAGGAAATGAGCACTACAGAGTACAGAGGTATCAAAAGAGCATTACAGACGTATCCAATGAGCATACCCAAATGTGCATGTAAAAATGATAGAAACTTTGACTCTTAAATCTTAATTATGCCGGCTGCTCTTTTGTGTTATTTACAGGCCATAACAATTTCCATAAGTGCAAATATAGCAAATGGGGGGAATTTTATCCATTTGCATTCCAGACATCCTTCAAACCCTCCCATTTCTCCTTTAAACCGCATTAGCTATAGACGGTCACTGGTAATGCTAGTGGAGAAGATGAATGTACGCCCATTCATTATGTCAAACAGATGAGAGCACACGATTCCGCTGCATCAAGAACAATCTCATTTTAAGTGTGCCACATTTACAATTAAAGCATTCCTACTGTAGATGATGTCACTCAATTACTTAACTGTCACCGAATTGATGTATTGAGTGAATATTACTGCACATCATACATATTATTAACCAGCAGGCAGCAGCAACAGACAGATGCACATTTAAAAAAGGAAAAATAACTTTAAATAATACCAACTATCTTCCATGAACCAAGAATAATACACACTTTAGAAATAACTTTTAATAATACCAACTATTTGAATTTAGATACGTAGTAAAAAATAATATGGAGTCACTTTTCTATAAAAATACGGTCATTTAAGTCATCAAAAACTAATATTATACCATCAAATAAATGATATTTGTAAATACGGTCACTTATTTAATATTTTGATATTAGTTTTTTATGAGTTAAATGACTGAATTTTTAGTTAAAATTTACTTTATATCACTTGATATATATTCAAATAGTTGGTATTATTAAAAGTTATTTCTAAAGTGCCTATTATTTTTGGTTTATGGAAGATAGTTGGTATTATTTAAAGTTATTTTTCCTTTAGAAAACAATTCGATGGGAGCATGGGATGCGCCTTTGAACAAGTAGGGAAAATTACCTTTCAACTGTCTGATAAGATGAAGGTGCTCCACGAGAGCACGACATCTCGAGCAATAGATGGGAGATCTGCACCATAGTCACATCTCAGAAATATAAGAGCCTACTTGCCACCTAAATGAATTTTATTCATCCTAAAACGGCATATGGAGCACATAAACTACAATAGAAAATAGCTCATCACCTCCAACAAGTTCCCTTGCCAGCGAAGGCAGATCAATTTCGTCTTCAAGCAGGCGGTATACATCGACAAGCTGCAGCATGGAAGTTACTGCTTGGATTAGATGACAATATGACGTCAAAAAGCGTGGAGTGGAGGTAGAGTCTAAGCATGGAAGGTTCTTATAATATTTGTCTTCCTCTTTCTCTCAATATCTCATGTCGATTCATGTTAGCTGACCATAAAACTCTTTTGGGGTAAAGGCTTGAATGTTGTTGTTATACTATAATTTGATTTTTGCAAATCTATAAAACTTCCAATATAATTTCTTAATATGTAAGTTGTAATTAATTAAACTGATTTCAAATATGAGTAGCGGAAATTGGATTTTATGATTTGCCAACTTTACAAACCGCAAATTCCAAATCAATTTGGGAAGGAAGAAGTAATTAATTTATCCATAATTAGCATGCAGATTTTACAGTATTATCGTTTAGACATTTAATTAATCGATTGATACTCTAAAGTTTAATGTCAGAGGCACCAACACAGTTAGTTGGGTTTAAAGTGCTGTGCTTGATGGGGTAGGGTCAGCTGATAGGTACCTCCAAATATTCCAGAACAATTACAGCAAGATCAACAAGAAAACAACTGAAAACTTTGTTGAAGAGATGATCGATTACAGAATGAAACAGTAACAAAGGCCGAAGCCTCCCAAAAGAGAAGAGAAATAACTCTCTAATCTTTCCCAGTCCCAAGACCTAAGTCCCAAAAGCCTCCTTATGCCTTCCTCCCCTTTTCTATTTATAGTATAAGCCCATCTTATTATTCTCTATAATAATAGGCCCAAAATAACAGGCCCACTAAACAGTAGCTATTCTTCTAGTATTCATATTAGAATTATTATCTATTATTACTCAAATAGGTAGGTCCCTATCAATACTCCCCCCCCTAAACATCCACCTTGCCCTCAAGGTGGACGGTAGGAGACAGCCAAGATCTTCCGCTTCTTCTTCCTTGCTCCTCTTCCTTCCCAATAGCTAACTGGTTGATGGACTGAGGACTTCTGTACTATATCTTTTAAAATCACAGAACTTTCAGCAGTAAAAGAGATTTGAAATGAGGTTTCATTTGGCTCAGTCACTATCCAGCAGTCCCTTTCAGCTTTTCCTCTTTCAATTCTTTGACTTCCTTATTTGAGAAAATAAGCCTCAAAGGTTTTGGCGGGTAAGTAAGGATACCCCTTATTCCAGTTGCAGTTCTCCTAACCAAGGAACAGGAAAGATTATTTCCCATGTAAGATTTCCAAAATTGGCATCCTAGCAGGTGAGCAGATTCTTCACCAGAAGAAAACATTGCCATTTTCAAGCTTTGTTTCACCTTCACCTTTTCATTAGCTTCAATATTTTGTTCCACATAACTTCCTGCCGTTTTCTCAATGATATAACCTGTACTTCTGAACTCTCCTGCCACCAGGTCCACCCCTAAGTTGGCAGGTGAGTCACAACTACTTGGACCCTTCTCACTCAGATGCACAATAGCAGAAGAAACAACTGGAGCATATTCTTGATGATCCTTCGAATTATAAGGAGCTGAAAGTCCCTCTTCAACCTGGTTTTTGAATATTGCTTTAAACATACTAGAAGAGTGCATCCCAGTAGTCAATTTTTTATTGTACATTGCTGTGTCAGCCTCTCTATCATCCATAACCAGTCTTCCTCCACTCATAACATTCATCCCAGTTGGTGAACCTCCATGTGAAATCACTGCCCCAATTGGAATAATGGTATATGTTTTCCCAGAAAAAAGATGAACATGAATCTCTGGACCAATCCTCCTTTTACCCAGGCATGAGTTTTCAGAAAACATCTCCCTTTGCTGTCTAGGTTCTTGACTTTTGACAAGAACAGCTTTATCTTCTGCAACTTCCTTGATTCCATCTTTCTTATTCCTTTGCATGATTACAGGTTCAGTTGGTTCCATCTTGATTACAGGTTCATTTGAAACTGATGATTCAACCCGATTCAACTCAAGAGTTGGTGTCCTCAATGAAATTTCCCGCATCAAAGCTGGAACTGACTCGGAAACTTCTTTAATCCAAACATCCTTTGGAGATGAGTTTAAATCTGATTCCACATTTTCCATTCCTTCCGAATCTTCAGGTGACCTGATACAAGTTGATGCCGGTCTGACAGACACAATTCCGGATTGCGAACTGGAAACTTCACATCTGGATTGCTTCTTAAGCAAACTGGTAGTAGCAACTGAAGCCTGTGAACTGCAGGATGATGTTGGCGATGACTTTGATTCCACATTTTCCATTCCTTCCGAATCTGATTCCACATTTTCCATTCCTTCCGAATCTTCAGGTGACCTGATACAAGTTGATGCCGGTCTGACAGACACAATTCCGGATTGCGAACTGGAAACTTCACATCTGGATTGCTTCTTAAGCAAACTGGTAGTAGCAACTGAAGCCTGTGAACTGCAGGATGATGTTGGCGATGACTTTGGCGAACTGAAAGAAGTTCTTGTTGATCTGGTTGACTCCTGTTTTGCTGTCTTCCCCGTCGTTTGCCGGTGTCTAGGTGGAAAATCCCTAATCACATCTTCTTTTAGAGCCTCCCAACTATCTTCTCTCTTTTGAAAATCCCACCATTGAAACCAGCCATCTGCTGCTTCCCCCATTGCCTTGGCTGCGACGTCAACCTTCTTTCTGCTATAGCTTGGACTCGGAAATATCTTTCCATCTTCTCTATCCATTCCTAAGCTTCCTCCTCATAGAATAGAGGTAATTCCTCCTCCTTTGAACTAGCCGAATTCCGAGAAGCTACTTTAGACGAAGAATGTGAACTGTGAGAATCCTTTGAGGAAGTCTGCGAACTCTGATGCGAAGAGCGATGATAAGAGTGATGCGAAGAGCGATGATAAGAATTCTGCGAAGAGCGATGATAAGAATTCTGCGAAGAGCGATGCGGATGAGAATGGTCAGAACTCCCTTCAGACTCCCCTGAACAGACTGATTTTCGCGAGTGACTCGAGTGGTGATGGCGAGGCGAATGATGATGACGAGGCGAATGATGATGGCGAGGCGTGCGATGCGAGGAACGATGCGAAGAGTCCGAGCGTAACTCCACCAAGGTCGATGTTGAGGAACGATGCGATTGATGTTGACCTCTCTCCACCAAGGTCGCGAGCGTATCTCGTAAGTCTGCTATCTTAGCCGCCATATTAGTCTGGAACTCCCTCAGACTTCTATCCATATTCGCGTGCACTTCGTTGATTCTTCCTTCCATCCTTGCGCGCGTATATCTCCTCCAGCGATCGCCAGGCTCTGATACCAATGATAGGTACCTCCAAATATTCCAGAACAATTACAGCAAGATCAACAAGAAAACAACTGAAAACTTTGTTGAAGAGATGATCGATTACAGAATGAAACAGTAACAAAGGCCGAAGCCTCCCAAAAGAGAAGAGAAATAACTCTCTAATCTTTCCCAGTCCCAAGACCCGAGTCCCAAAAGCCTCCTTATGCCTTCCTCCCCTTTTCTATTTATAGTATAAGCCCATCTTATTATTCTCTATAATAATAGGCCCAAAATAACAGGCCCACTAAACAGTAGCTATTCTTCTAGTATTCATATTAGAATTATTATCTATTATTACTCAAATAGGTAGGTCCCTATCATCAGCTCAACCTGTCTAGCCAACCACTTCTTGTGCTGAGGACGAGGCATAGTATTTGCCTCAGACATTAAGAGGCCAAGGCCAACACTCACCTTCTTTGTGTGTATAGTATAAAAAGTTGGTTTCATACTATATCAAATTCGCTAATTGATTATACAAAAAACACTCAATCAAGTATATTAACCGTCCAGTTTTGCAGGTCATGTAGGCCTATGTGGCATTTCGTTTTCTCTCTTCTTTTTCCATTTTCTTCTTTCGTCTTCCATCTTTTGCTTCCTGCTCTTCCCGAGCTGTATCAATAATTCATTATTCATCTTCTCAAAAAAATCCTTCAGGTAGGTGGCCCATTTTCAAAGATAACAATTCATATTTTCCTGCAGTACATTCTGGAACTTCGTAACGATGGAAACGGTGGATATACACCACAGTTGTAGAAAAGGAGCTTGAATATTCTCCTGGATTTCAGGTTGCTCTTCCACATTTTTTTTGGGTTTTCCAGTGTAAAAAATGAGCTCTCCAATTTCCCATTTTTGGAGATCTTTTGGTTCTTCTGCAGATCAACAATACTTTTCATAAATCATAATTCAGGAGTTCTCCATAGCAGCTCCCTGAGTGTTGAAGATGAAGAGGCTCTGTCACAACTCCATCATCCCTCCAGTACAACCGAAGAGGAAGAGGCACAATAGAAGAACATCAGCTCGGATTTGCAGACTGTCATCCCGCTCGCCATCTATGCCGCTTCAATCGCTGGTTTTGTTGTTGAAGAAGATAAATTTCAGTCTCCATGCTCACCGTCACCGACATCTTCTGCTCAAGCCTCCATCATCAGCGTCCTCCTGCGATTTGATAGGAAGAAGTGTCCTGCTGCAATTTGCTACGGAAGCAGAAGAGCCAATAAGCGGTTTCACTTTTTTGGGCTTTCATATTATCGAAATGCCATTTTCTATTTAAAGTAATTTATTTAGTTGACGTGACATGTATGTGGGTCACCACACATGCAGCTAAGTTTGAGCGTCTAATTGTTGATTTGAGCGTTTTCATAAGTTTGAGCATCTAATTGGATGTTTATTTTGTATGAGGGCTCTATTGAAATTTTTGCTATACTACCAGCACTTAATTATTTTCCATCATTTGCAGTGGAGCCAAAGATTTGTTATTTTTTGGCTTGAGAATATGATGGAATAAAGCAAAATGGCTCACTAAACTGTCTGCGCTTCTTTGTTATGAAGTAGCAGTCAGTTCATGCAATTTGGACGCGATTTTTTCACTATGGGTCATCCGGAAACAGTCTCTCTGTGCTTTAGTACAGGGGTAAGACTGCGTACATCCGACCCCCCCTTACCCCACCGTAGGTGGGAGCCTTTGCGGCACTGGGGTAAATGAAAATGATGATGACCAGCACTTAATTGACACTTTTATCTGTTAATTTATGCTCAATCTACTACAAAGACAACTAAAGCTAGACTAGTATTAGATAAGAAAGAACAATTCAGTTCCTTTTGTCTTACCTTCTATATTATATTGTTTGATGTCAGATGACTTCACATGGCCTCGAACAAAATAGAGACTTATTAGATCGAATTATGCACTATAGCAGCATACCGGACCGTAGCGGCAGCAGGACGCTACAACAGTCTCTGTAGCGGACTAGCAGAATGGTTAGCTGGAGGTAAAATAGCTACCGACATAGCAGTAGTAGTGGGCTATAGTAGCACTTTTGAGTTATTGAATTGTTTGCAGTTCTATTAGGGGATGTCAGTGTAACTTTGGTGTTAGGAAGTTTTAAAGGGGTAGAATAGGCTTTTTGGAACAAAAAGTAATCTAACTAAACCCTTCTTACATACACTGCCCAATAATATTTTTCATTTCTGGGGTTTATGTGTATGATATGTAATATACGCATACCACAACAACATCCAAGCATAAACTTCCTCCGTTCTTAAATAAATGTGACAGTCCAATTTTCACGTTTTACGATGCACAACTTTAACCATTAATATACTACTATATTATTACCTATTAGTAAGAAAATTAAAAAAATCATATTTTGAAAAAGTACAATGAGACAAAATTAATAGTATTTTTTTAAAAAATAATTTGTTAATAAATTAATTAATAAAGCGTAATCAAATTACAACATGTGAATAGTGTAAAATTCAACATGTTGCATTTATTTAGGAACGGAGGAAGTATATAATTATGTATTATGACCAAAAGTTATTTAAATAATAGTCATCGTGCTATCCTCTTTAAAGCTATAGCATTTGCGGGGTAGGCCACTATGTTCTGCTATCCGCGATTGACAACACCAGTTTAAATACCATATTAGAATGATTTGGATTTCATCCTAAAGTCAACTTCATATGACTATGAGGAATTGCCGGGGATTTTGTATGTTGGATTTGAGTTTTTATATTTGTTTGATGTCTAATGACTAATATAATTTTTATTCTTATTACTTATTGCTTATTCTTATTCTTATTACTTATTGCTTATTCTTATTTTATTCAGATCAGATCAGATCAGAAAGATTCAGATCAGAAGCATTCAGATCAGATCAGAAACAATCGGATAACATGATTTATCACTTTATTATTATTAATATTTATAATTATAATTATATAATAATAATAATAATAATAATTATTATATTCTTCTTCTTATATTCTTATAATAATTATAAGAATAATTATTATTTTATAATAATATTAATAATTATAATTATAATTATTATTATTATATTATGATTGTAATAATTATTATACGACGTATTGTAATTACTATAATTATTGTTGTTGATAATATTAGACATTAATATTGTTACTATAATTATAATTACAATTATAACTATAATTACATCAATAATTACCATTACAATTATAATTATAATTACAATTACAATTATAGTTATATAATTATAATTGTAATTGTAATTATAATCGTAATTTTACAATTATAATTTCAATTATAATTATAATTATATAAATAATTATAATTAAGAATATAATTACAATTATAATTAGCTCCATAGTTATAATTAGTGTAATAGGTATAATTATTATATTTTTAATTATAATTATTATCATAATTATAATTTTATATAAATTATATTTTTAATTATAATTATAATAATTGTAATTATAATTATAATTATAATTATAATTATAGAAATATTCAAATCAGAAATATTCAGATTAGATCAGATCAAAAAGATTCAGATCAGATCAGAAACATTCAGATCAGATCAGAACTTAAAAAATTCATATCAGAAACATTTAGATCAGGTGAAGAGAACAACTTCTAAACATGTTTTGTTTTGAGTCTGCCTTATTAAATTCCAAGAAAAAAGAAGAAGAAATCCCCACTTTCAAGTGTTCTCACATTACTGCATCAATTTAAATGACTGAGAAAAAAATGATTTCACATTTAAGGAATAATTTGCAAATAGTTTTGCAACATATCAAGTGAAACCTTCATTCTGTAAACCAATACCTCTTGAACATGAAGTTTTGAGTCTTCGGTGAGAGCAAGAAGAAGCTGCCTGCGAATGCCCTCATCAAGAAGGAAAACTCGAGCTCCATCCTTGATTGTGTCAGTGAGATCCAACTTCCGCTCAACTTGAATGTCTTTAATATACCTCTGCCTGTGAACAGAGCTGATGGTGACTGGGTAAGTTAAGTATTAAAAACGAAAGCTCAAAGAAATGTCTAGCAATGGATACACACATGCTACTATTCCCTTTGAATGCAGGGTTGCTGCTCATCTTTGTCACGTTTTCCTTGGCAAGAATGATTAGATTCTCAAGCCGTTTCCACTGGAATGCACCATCCTTAAACAAAACCTGACAAGTGTTCATGGTCAGACGACTGTGAGACTAATCTTTTACGGAAATAAAAAATTTGAACATAAATTAATACTTTTAAATTATAATAACAACTCCTATAATAATAATAATTATTATTATTATTGTTGTTATTATTGTTCTACTACTACCTCTGTCCCATTAACATTGGGACATGAGGGGGAGACAAAGTAAGAATAAAAGTAAAAATAATTTAAAGCCAGACAAACTTTACCAAATTCAGTATGAGAGAATATTAGTGGGATTTCCCGAAAAGGAAAAAATGGGATGATCTTAGCGGGATAGAGGGAGTATTATTTTAAGAGTTCAACAAAAGCAATACTTTGTTAGCTGCACGAGTGTTTCTCTTTTACCAAAAAATATAAACCTCTCACATCTCGCACAAGTTGAATTGCAAATCAATTATAGGAAAAAATGCAGGGAAAAGTTCATAGAAGTACCATACAGTAGGGCGTGTTTGGACTAAGAGGACTTGGATTTTTAGACAAACTGTGATCTTTGATTAGCACAGATGGAGTCTACACACTAATGGAGTTCAATCTAGTTTACGTGCCCGTATTTGTCATTTCGTGATGACCTGGTTATTTCCCATTTTGGATCCTGCATGGCACGTTATCGCTAATACACAAACATCATGTATTATTTTTTTATTTAATTTTTTTGAAAAGTTAAATACTGGATATTAATTCTTTTTGAAAAATTAATAATGAATTTTAATTGGAAAAAAATTAAAAAATTTAATCTTGGGGATTGGAAGCGGTTACTCCCATCATTTCCAATAGAGCCAAAGACTCGCTATTTTTTGGCTCGGGAATACGATGGAACAAAGCAAAATAGCTCACTAAACTATCTACGCTTCTTTGCTATGAAGCAACAGTCAGTCCATGCAATTTTTGACGCGATTTTCATCACAAGGTCATCCGAAAACGGTCTTTATGTGCCTAAGTACAGGGGTGAGGCTGCAACCATCCGACCCACCCTTACCCCACCATAGGTGGGAGCCGTTGCGGCACTGGGGTAATGATGTTGTTTTTTGGGGGATTGGAAGTGGTTGTAAGCTATTAGTTTTAGTAAATCTGTTTTTTGTAGTTTAATTAATTTTTAATGTTGGTAAAAAAATAATACTCCGTATTCACTAATTGATGTTCAAAAAGTATTAATTTTCACTAATTATTTTTTCAAAACAACTAATACACGATGGTTGTGTACTTGTGTACTAATGGTAATATTCACCAGTTACCACATCAGGTAACACATGATGCCAGGAAAGATCCAAAATGAAAAGAAAAGTCAGGTTAGCAAAAAATGTTAAACATGTGTCACATGAGTAGACTTAACAACGTTAATGCATAAACCTCTCCTATAGTAACTGCACAATGCCACACATCCCAATTTGTATGAAAACAAACCACATACGTCTAAGTCTAAACGCGTCCAACCACAAAATACTGTTATGAATTTTTCCAGTTATAAAGAGCCACTACCCCTTGAACCCAATTATAGGAGCAAATTTTTACATGCAGCCTGTGTGAATCCCTTGTACATCTAGCAATGCTTCTATCAAACTACTTAGTGTGATGCACATTTCATTGAGGTATGATATGTAGACAATGTCAAAAATTATCCTAACATTTAAATGTATCATTTTCGATAATCGGATAATTCTATTCGCGGGTGTTAGTGACCTGTCCAATGAAAACCAGGAATACAAGACAAAGAAAAAGAGCATGAATGCCAAATTTGTTTGAAAAGATAAAATATGAAACAACATTCAATAGGAAAGATGTGGTCTAAATTTTTAAACAAACCTGCATAAGACGTTCCCGTAAAGCGGGGTTAGGATCTGTGAGAAGGCGCTTCGCAATATAAGGATATGCAACCTGGTATATTTGTTGTGAATTAATAGAATGCACATGAAAATGAAGCATATAAGATAACCAGACACCAAACAAAAAGAAAGAAAGATAATCTAAGCCTATGCCTCTAGAAGTTGGTTTGTAAAATAATCTAAGGCCAAATTGTTTCTGTTGTGAGTGTGTATCTAGGCAAAGCGAACAAGATAGATTAAGAACAAAACAAGTCTAAGGATAGAATTAATTGGTGCATGATCTAGAACAAGTTGGTTTGTCAAGGCACAAAAATTAATTTCTTCAAAGTTAATTTATTAAATATACTGATGACCAAGGTTGTTACGGTGGCGAGACGCCCGACTAGGTGATAACTAGATGAAGAGAGCATAATATTTAAACATAAATCATATAATATAATAATATATTTCGAATCAAGTTATATATTGTAAAACCTCAAACAAAGAAATTAAATTAATTAAAAAGTAAAACTGAAATAAAACTAAAGGAAGCAGACAGAAGCCAGAATCCATATGGTCCCCTGTTAAGTACGAAACAGACAGGAAGTGTGACGGAATATAGAGAAAAATTTGAGTTTTTTTTCCGAAATAATGCCAATTAAATAAGTATTTACCGAAATAATGATGGGTTAAAACTATTTATGGATGTACTGTTGGGCCTAACCCGGGTTAGGCAAAGTCGCCAAACGGTTTGGCGACTTATAAGTCTCAAACCGGGATGGTGACAGAACGCAAAACACCCCCAAAAAACCTTTGGCGATTGTGCGAGCTCCAGGCGACGGCAGCGGCAAGTTGGGCACATCAAATCCACCATCTTCAACACTCTTTCCTCCAGGTTTGAAATCTCCATTTGATCTTCTCATAATCTCATATATCAACTTAGGGTTTAGGTCTTTAGGATTGAAAATCTTTAAGAATTGTAAGCTATGAATTGATTTGTTGTTTAATGTGGATATGTATGAGATATTGAATTTGAATGTGGATATTAATTTAATATTTTGGTTTTGTTAAGTATATGAAATGTGTATAAAGTTTGTATATTAAAAGGTAAATTATAATGAAATGTGTATAAAGGTAGTCATGGTGTGTATGATATTTTGGTTAAAGTGTATATATGTAATGTTGAATTTGGGTGTATACTAATGTGTATACATCAATAATCGTCATGTATTGATATTAGAATATGGATTTCTCCAACTTCCCAATAGTGTGTCATTGGGGATGAAAATTATTCGAGGATAGGGGGAATATGCTATGAAGGTGGTAGGAGACGGATTGTAGTTGTTTCTCGTGGCGCATGTATGTTAGAGATGCTGCAAAAAATATATGCAACTACACAGATTCCTCCGAGTCATTCTTTGCAAGTGCAGGTGAATATCCCCTTCACGGGGGAATAATACATGCCGATGACAAGTAAATTCTAGAAACAACTGACTGTTTCTTACTTCTCCATGTTACTAAATTTCCCCAAACATAAGAACAGTAACCAGAAGTACTTCTATAAGTTACATCTCCTGCCCAATCTGCGTCCGTGTGGACTCTAATTTTCTTTATTGTCATTCTTCCTAAAAAGAAGACCTTTTCCTGGAGTCATTGTGAGGTATCTAATGATTCTTGTAATAGCTTCCATGTGTTCATCAGTTGGATTATTCATGTATTGGCTCACCACACTTACAGGGAAACCAATATCAGGTCTAGTATGGGATAAATAAATAAGCCGTTCAACTAGCCTTCGGTATCTCCCCCTGTCCACAGGTGCTCTACCTGTCTCTGAGCCAATCTTTCTATTAGAATCCATTGGAGTTAAGGCTGGTTTACACCCAAGCATTCCTGTTTCCTTTAGTAAGTCTAGAACATACATTCTTTGAGAAAAAAATACCACGCCTTGATCGTGCAATTTGCATGCCTAGGAAATATCTAAGATAACCGAGATCTTTAATCTCAAATTCCTTTGATAAAAAACTTTTCAAGTTTTCCAGCTCTTCCTTGAAATCTCCTATAAGTATTATATCATCAACATAAACTATTAGGACAGCTATCCTTTTATCTTGTGAGTGTTTTACAAACAACGTGTGACACTGAATATAGCCATTTTTAATGACTGATTTAGTAAACTTTCCAAACCTGCTCGTGGAGATTGCTTAAGGCCATATAGAGATTTCTTTAGTCTGCATACTTTATTTTTGTTGGAAGAACACTCAAAGCCCCGTGGAATATCCATGTACACCTCTTCTTCCAGGCCACCATTCAAGAAAGCATTTTTCACATCTAGTTGGTGCAATGGCCAATCACTATTTGCAGCAACAGAAAGTAGAACACGAATGGTATTAAGTTTAGCAACCGGAGCAAAAGTATCTTGATAATCAATCCCGTAAGACTGAGTGAACCCCTTAGCAACAAGGCGAGCTATAAACCTCTCAATGCTACCATCTGCCTTATGTTTAATAGTGAATACCCACTTGCATCCCACTGGTTTCTTTCCAGATGGTAAATCTGTTATGTGCCAAGTTCCATTCTTCACCAGAGCATTGATTTCATCTTGTACAGCCTTTTTCCAACCCGGATCAATCAGTGCTTCTTGAATTGTGTGAGGAATCTGTACAGTATCAAGAGCTGAAACAAATGCTTGATAGGATGGAGATAATGTTTCATAGGACACAAAATTACCAATGGGATGTTTAGTGCAAACACGAACTCCCTTTCTCAAAGCAATAGGCAGATCATCATTTATATCAGTAACATTATCATGACAAGGAGTACTCATACCTGAATGCATTTCTGGAGGATGTGAATCCGGTTCCAATTAATGGCAGTCTTGTAGATGTGTCCGTTCTTTCTCAGGGTTCTTTCTTCTTTGACAAACACGAAGTTCTTTAGGTTCAGGATGAGAATTAACTATTGGTGACGGTTCAGACGTGTTTTCAGTGACTTGAGATGAACTAGATGGATTAAATGGAACTTGATTTTCTATGACATCTTGACTTTCTTGGACTGAGTTCATAGGTTGTGGACTGGTGAGTTCAAGAGAAGGTGCAATAGATGAGATTTCCTTTGTAGGAGTATGACTGTTCGGAACAGTTATTCCTCAAAGGTGAGATTCACTTGCATTCTCCCCCTGAATCTCAGATTTGTAGTAAGTTTGTGATTCGAAAAAGGTGACATTCATAGAGTTATAGGTTTTTCGTGAAGTAGGACAGTAACACTTATAACCCTTTTGATTAGATGAATAACCTATGAAGATGCATTTGATAGATTTAGGATCTAACTTACTACGATGTTGTGAATGAATATGGACAAAAACGGTGCAACCAAAGACCTTAGGATCAACAAAGCTAATGAACCTTGTATGAGGGAATATTTGCAGAAGAGTATGACACGGAGTTCGAAATTTCAGCACTTTAGATGGCATTCCATTAATGAGATAGGCAGCGGTGAGAACTGCATTCCCCCAAAAAACTTTAGGAACATGAGCCCCAAACATGAGAGATCGAGCAACTTCAAGAAGATGTCGATTTTTTCGTTCAGCGATTCCGTTTTGTTGAGGGGTGTCAACTCAAGAACTTAAATGGATGATGCCATGTTCTACCAAATAGGTACCAAGAATAGAATTAATAAATTCTTTGGCATTGTCAGTTTTGAGTACTTGAATCGTAGTGTGAAACTGAGTTTGAATCATAGAATGGAAGCGCTGAAAAATTTGCCCACTTCTGACTTATTTTGCATAAGAAAAACCCAAGTTAATCTTGTATGATCATCTATAAAAGATACAAACCATCTCTTTACTGTTATAGTGTTTATGCGTGAAGGTCCTCACACATCACTATGAATCATTGAAAACGGTTTGGATGGTTTATATGTTAATCTAGAATAACTAGTCCGAGTGTGTTTAGCAAACTGACAAGTCTCACAACAAAAAGAACTTGGATTTTTATTCAAGAATAAAGAAGGAAACAGTTTTGACAAATACACAAAGTTTGGATGACCAAGACGATAGTGCCATAACATGATATCACTATCTTTATTAGACAAAGAAACCGACTGACTATTCAAAGTAAGTAAACTGAACTTCTGGTTTTGATAGAAACCTTGCAAAAGCAGAAGGAATACAAACACAACTCCAGTAATTCACACACAATTACTGGTAATCACAAGCAAATAGAGTAAGAACACAATCACAGTATCTTATTCCACAAGATAACAATCAACAAGGGAAACAGTATACAGGCCAAAAGAGGAGATAATGCTCCCGCTTTCCCCGTCCCAACCAAATGACCAAAAGCCTGCCAACCTAAAAGGAAACCACTATTTATATCCCTTCCCTAAAAGGAAGGTCGTTATTAGTTACTTAGCAGCTTTAACTAATAACCGAGCCAGTCTATTTAGGCCTTCTAGTGTACACTCGCCCATATCTATTTACTTTGTCTAGACTATCACCCGTGTCCCTATCAGGTTTATGCTAGTGGATGAGACTTCATCACGTAGAACATACAGTCTGGAACACATCTTAGCACTGCCAATCCTCTTCCCCGAGTCCAAATCCTGAAATACACAAAGATTTAGAGAAAAATTTTGTCACATTTACTGATTGAAAATAAATTACAGTCTAATTTAGGCACATAAAGCACAGATTTGAGAGTTAGGTCCTTTGTTATTCTGACTGAACCCGAACCCTCAACTTGAGAAAGTGAGCCATCTTCCTTTGTTTGGGTGAAACTCAGAAAAACTAGATGCAACTCCAGTCATGTGATCTGAAGCTCCGGAGTCTAGAATCCAGGATTTGTTAGTGCATCTATTGACAAAACAAGCAACTGATTTATTACCTCCCATAGCCAACATTCTAGTATCCTGCGTAGATGTTGGTTGAGTGGAGGATTGATTCAGAAGTTTCTGAAGAGCCTCAAGTTGAGCTGTAGTGAATAGAGCTGATTCAGGCACATCATTTAACTCTCTGACAGCTGAATTTGACGTGGCAGCCACATTTCCATGACTGAAACGATCACTCCCCGCCTTTGGTTTTCAATTTTGAGGCTTCCCGTGAAGTTTCCAGCATGTTTCTTTGTAGTGTCCAAGTTTTCTGCAGTGGTCACACCAAGGGCGGCTTCCCTTATTTTGACGATTATCATGATTTGCTCCCTGAGTTTGTCCACGGGCAGCAAGGGCAGAAGATTCCAGATCTGAAGATAGAAATGAGGAGCCCATCATAACCTTTTTCCTACTTTCTTCAAGGCGGACTTCAGAAAATGCTTCTTTTACCTTAGGTAGGGGCTTGGTACCCATGATTCGACCTCGAACATCATCCAGATTTCTATTGAGGTCATGAAGAAATTTGAAAGTTCTCTTTTTCTCCACAATGGAACGATACAATGTTGTATTGTCAGCACACTTCCAAGCATATTCTTCAAATAGATCCAACTGCTGCCAATAGCGAGTGAGAGTGTTAAAGTATTGAGTGACAGAGGTATCACCTTGATGGAGATCATGTAAGGCTGCCTCGATAGAAAAAAGCTCAGAAGTATTCCCAGAGCTTGAATAGGATTCTTTGACAGCATCCCATAATTCTTTTGCCGTAGCATATAATAGAAAGTTTTCCCCTATATCATTATTCATAGAACTAATGAGCCATGACTTAATCATATGATTATCAGACTTCCAAGTTTTGAAGAGAGGATCATCTTTCTCTGGAACTGATCTTTCACCAGTAAGATACTCTTCTTTACCTTTTCCACCAATATACATCATCACTGATTGAGACCATTGGAGATAGTTGTGTCCATTGAATTTGTGGCTGGTAACGAGAGAGACAGCTTCATTTATTTGAGGAGAGGCAGAAAGAATTGATGAGGGTGTTTTAGAGATTGCCTCTGAGATGGAGCTATTGTTTTCGTGAGACATGATAGACAGGAGATGGGCACAATCAGACGAGAAGTACAGAAACCCTAGGAAAGCTAGAGCTCTGATACCATGTGAAATTCTGAATATTTGTGATGATCTCATTATCTCAGAATGGCAGGATATTTATACAACCTATTGGGGAGAGAATCTAAGACATTAACTATACAACCTGCTAATTTAGACAATAGAATATCCTATTTCTAGAAAGAATAAAATACAGGAGATCTGGCATTAATACCAAATCAGATCTAAAGTACAACAGTAAATATTCTCTAAATCAGGAAATAAATCCACAGTTGCCTATCAAAAAGGAAAGTAAGATAGGTAAAATGGACGGATGGAGTAATATCTTGCGCTTTATTTACGTTGAATAAGGTATCAAAGTGTGACCTTCACACTTTTATTTCTTCATCCTCCATTTGTACTTTTGATCGACATCTTTCACACACTTAACTTTTCTAATATCTTGAGTCATACAATAACAGAGACGAGCAAGTTTATAAATATCTCTTTCTTCATGGCTTTCTTAGTTACATACAACTCTTTGTACACCTTCCCCCGTCCTTCCTACATGGCTTTCTTAGTTATTCTTTTAGCCTTCTTGAACCCCTCTATGTTCTCATCGCTCCAACTTTTTCCCAACTTTTTATAGCATACCCTTTTGTTACTTATAACGAAAGTAAAATAAAATATAGTTTAGTATATATGAAGTAAGAAGGAGAGAACAAACTTAGACGGTTCGACCATGATGATTTAGACTTTAAAGCTGAAATAACTTGAAACACAGAACTCCATCAACCTCCCCATGCTTGTTTTGTATCTACATCAACACGTGATAATTGTTTCCATACGGGGTTAAACGTTCATCATGCAGGGACAGTTCGGACTGAAGCAGGTTTTGTGTGTGAGAGGGGATCAAGATCCTCCACAGCAACATTATCCCAGGGCCACAAAGGCTCCCACCTATGGTTGGGTAAAGGGGTGGTCGGATATACGCAATCTTACCCCTATACTAAAGCATAGGGAGACTGTTTCGGATGACCCATGATGAAAATCGCGTAAAAAATTGCATTGAAGTAGGAATAAGAACATATGTGAGTTTCCTTGTAGCAGAAGTAAGATCCTACATGGCGGTAACAAGATCTTTTGTTGTCTCAAAGATCGAGACATTCAATTCTCCAAACGTCCTTGTCCATGTAGTAGTAGTAATGCGACAACGAGGACTCATCAATGACAGTAACAACAATGATGAAGACGCCTAACAAGGGCGATGACGACGACAACAACAATTAAAATCGTAATAACAACAATGATAATAAGTGACAAGCCAATATCAGATTTTTTAGAAGAGTTTGAGTCAAAGACCGAGATTGTTCACCTCAAGAAATTTGAAATCTGGCTTCAACGTAAAACATATGCCTTCTTGAGTCAATAGAGAACGGATGACAAGAGAAAACCTCTCCGGGATACGAATTGGATAGTTGTAAACTAGTTGGTTAAACTTTCCTACATCATGAACATGTGCTATCCATAATCAGTTATCACATGAGCAGAAGAAACCTGAGGCAGCTTTACAACAAAATAACATGAACATTACCTGTAACACTTCTAAAGTTAAAATCAGAAAGTCCTTTTTCAAGTGAATTCTGCCAAATTGCTTCCAAAGCAGGAATAATGGGGGACACATCAGTACCACAAGCTAGGAAGCCAAGTCTAGTAAAATCTTTGGCCATCTCAGCATAGTCCTCATTTACAGCATGGACAACAGCATCAATCAAAATCTGTTTATTTTGCTGAAAAGAAAACGAAAAGTGGATTCTGAAAAGCTCTTCTTAAGGATATACAAAAACTAGAGCAATAAATGAATGAGGCAACACAATCCAGTATTCTTACGAAAAATATTAATGGAAGCAATGCATGGGGGTATCATTTTTATGTTCTGTATGTGCACAACCGAATGCTAGTATCTACCATATTTTGCATTTGCTTGTTCACCAGACCTATAGAGGCATATATTACCTGACTCAGAACAGCAACATTCCCAAAGTCAACATATGCAATGCGACCATCATGCATAGCAAAGATATTCCCAGGGTGTGGATCTCCATGGAACAAGCCAAACTCAAGTAACTGCCTCAAGGCTGCACTAACTCCAACAGTCAAAAATCCATCTATATCAATTCCTGCCCCCTTGATTGCCTGACAAATAATAATATAAATATATCAAGATAAAAGCTAATTCTCAAGAGGCAGCAATTACATAAAAAGCTCTGAAAAGTATACCTCTGGATCGGTGCAACGTATTCCGTCAATCCATTCCATTACAAGAACATGTGGACCAGAAAGCTGTTTATAAACCCGAGGAATTTTGACAGTAGGGTCGTTCTTGAAATTTTCCAAAAAATCTTCAATATTGCGAGCTTCCTGGAGAAGCAAAGAAAGACGTGTAAGACAAAGTTATGGTATGAGCTTGGTTATTTAACAAGTACCCACAACTCAGGTTTCTGATATTGCAGTAAGTTCTTTACTTAAATCACAATATGCCCCAATCCTACCAACCCTCAACCAGCAAATCAAAATACATATCTCTGAACTATTTTTAACTTATGCATGACTGCATGATAAGAGAAAAAAATCGTAAGTGTGCTATGTAAAATAATAGTATCCCCTTTTTAGAACAAACAGAATTAGATGCAAAATATAACCAATGTATAGTCTAGCTCCTCTAATAGCTTTTCCCCAAATTCTTCCACAATAAGTTCTGCATTGCATCCTAATTTTTGTAGACTGATCCCATCCAAGAATGAAGCCAGCATCCGGAAAAGAAAAAGATCTCGGTAGATGATAGGCTCAATATGAGGCCTTTGAACCTGCAAAAAAAACAAGTGTTTTGTTGTTTATATCTGAAGCATTTTGTCAAGAGATCAAATGTTTCGAACCTTGCATAAGAACAAACAAAAAAATGCAACTCAAAAAACAATTACTTGCATAATTTACAGCAACATAGCGCAGAAACGCAAGGAACAAAAAATGTTATATTTAAAAAAAAAAATGCAACTCTGTAAGCATTACTGAAACTGTGAAACAGGAACAGTACTGATTAAGAATTTAGGGGCATCACATATTAACTGTAAAAAAGTATAGTATATTAAAGGGTTTAAGGAGTGGGAAAGATGTGATATGAGATTTGGTATTCCAAACTTAACAAGTAGATAAGTATACTTTTTGTTCTCTTAAGGGATCATAGGGATGTAAAGCAGACCAGCAATGAAATAATGAACTTATATGATATAAAGAATGCATTCCATTCATGGTTAGAAGATTCAAAAACAACTGAGCAAACACCAAAGCATAGTGTTAAAGTAGGAACAGAATGTAGATTAAAATGATATGCAACCTTAATTGCAACATCCTCCCCTGTTGAACGCAATGTAGCTCGATAAACTTGACCCAAACTTGCAGCTGCTATAGTCTTTGAAGAAATATTTCTGAAAACAGCTTCCAGGGGTTGACCCAATTCCTCTTCTATGATGTTGAAAGCAACCTAAACCACAGTCAATGATTGCTGCTCATGGAAAAAAATTACGCTGAAGAAGTATCATTTTTAAGAATGCCTCAGAAAACTGAGCTAATCAACTCATTACCTGATTAGGAAAAGGAGGAACATCATCCTGAAGAATACAAAGTTCATTCATGTAATCTTCTCTAATTATATCTGGCCTATTTGCAAGAACCTACCAAAATAAATATAATCAAAAGTAGGGTTAAGAAAATCCGCACAGCAGCTATAAAGTTTTCTAGTGAATCGACAAAGAGGTGGAGGAAACCACCACAACATCCAAGTCTTAGTCCCAAAAGATTTTTGGGTCGGCTAACGTGAATCGATACACGATACCGAAACCAAAAGGAAAAGAGATAAGCTATGATCATCATCATCATCATTACCCCAATGCCGCAAAGGCTCCCACCTACGGTGGGGTAAGGAGGGGTCGGATGTATGCAGTCTTACCCCTGTACTAAAGCACAGAGAGACTATTTCCAGATGACCTAAAGTGAAAAACGCGCCAAAATTGCATGGACTGATTGTAGCTTCATAACAAAGAAGTGCAGACAGTTTAGTGAGCCATTTTGCTTTATTCCATCACATTTTCAAGCCAGAAAATAGTGAGTCTTTGGTTCCATTGCAAATGATGGAAACAGAGATAAGCTATGATAAGAAAGATAAGCTATGATACAAAAGATAATATAAAAAGAGATAGAATATACATAAAAACGATAGAATAAAAGGGATAAAAAGAATATATAATATATATATATATGAGTAATCTTCCGAGCCGTCCGGCCTCCTCCTTTTGGGGGCCTTCCCGGTGGTATTTTTTGCTCAATTTTTTGTGTATGTTCCTCATCAAGTCTAGTTCATCCATACCAAATTTCAGAAAAAAATTCAATCGGGAAGGTCATCAAATGATTTTTGCAAGTTAACTGGTCCGGAAAATACATATTCCGGACCAGTTAACTTGCAAAAATCATTTGACGCCCTTCCTGATTGAATTTTTTGCTGAAATTTGGTATGGATGAACTAGACTTGATGAGGAACATACACAAAAAAATTGAGCAAAAAATACCACCGGGAAGGCTCCCAAATGGAGGAGGCCAGACAGGAGTTCCTGTCCGGAAATTCCGGACAGGAATATTCCTGTATATTTTTTTTTATATATATAGCAGTCTTCCTGTCCAGCCGGCCTGGCGGGGAACCGCCGTCCGGCCAAGGGCATTTCGGGCACTTCCCAGTAGAATTTTTTGAGCATGTTCTACATCAAGTCTAGTTTATCCATACCAAATTTTAGCTAAAAATTCAATCGGGAAGGCAGTCAAATAACTTTTGGAAGATAACTGTGCACTTAAATATGTATAAACTGCGAATATTTTTAATGACTATGCCCGTTACAATCGGGAAGTTATGTTCATAGATGACTATGCCCGTTACACATGGTTATTTTTAATGAAAGACCGATTTGCATTACTCCAAATATTTCAAAAAATTTGTGTAGAAATTCCAATACAGTTTGGACCGGCCCATAAGGAAAATATTATAAATATGAGTTGGGAGTAGAATAAAAGGTTAGGCAGAAATTCAGTGGAATTTGTGCTAGGAGAGTGGGACCTCTCGAAAAGTCTCAACCTTGTTTTCTTCCCTTTCATTTCTTCTTATACGCTCGTTACTAGTTCTGCCATTGTAGCTACTTGAAAATTCAGAGATATTATCTGAATTCCTAATCAATATACCTAAATTTTTCCTATATCGTGTCTGGATTTCCGTGACTCTATCACCCGTGAGGCACTGTGACAACTAGAGTGACATTGTGTCATGTTGACTGAGATGGAGGATCTACATTCTAGTGGGACATGGAAATTAGTCCCCCATCCTCCTAGAAAATCGGTGGTCAGTTGTAGGTGGATTTATACTATTAAGGTTAGATCTGACAGAAAAGTTGATCTTCTTAAAGCACGTTTGGTAACACAAGGGTATACTCAGATTTATGGGTTGGATTATACCGATACATATTCTCATGTGGCCAAAATGGCTTCCGCTCGCTTATTTTTGTCTATGGCGGCCATGAGTCGTAGGTCATTACACCATTTGGATATCAAAATGCTATTCTACATGGTGATCTCGAGGAGGAAGTTTATATGGAGCAACCACCAGGTTTTGTGTGCAAGTTACGTTGTTCCTTATATGGTCTGAAGCAATCTCCGTGTGCGTGGTTTGGGGGAGTCATCGATGTTATTCATAGATTTGGCATGATCTCAAGTGAAGTTGATCATTCGATTTTCAATAAACATTCCACAGGAAATAGATGTATTTATCTATTTGTCTGGTTGTATATGTTGATGACATTGTCATTACAGGTAATGATGAATACGGAATCACTCAACTCAAGGAATATCTCTTTAGCAAATTCCAAACAAAAAATTGGGGAAGCTAAAGTATTTTCTTGGTATTGAGGTTGCACAGTCTTACAACGGTACTGTTCTTTCGCAAAGCAAGTATGTGCTGGATATTCTTGAGGGAACACATATGTTGGAGTGTAGACCAATTGATACATCAATGGATCCAAATATCAAACTCTTACATGAGCAAGAGGTGTTCTTACCGGATCGAGAGAGATATAGAAACTCATTGGGAATCTGAATTATCTCACAATCACGAGACCAGATATTTCCTTTACTCTAAGTGTCCTTAGCCAGTTTCTAGATAAGCCATGTGATCGTCATTAGGATGACGCTACATGAGTCTTGAGATACATAAAGAAAACACTAAGTAAAGGGTTACTCTACAAAGACTGGGGCTATAAAAATATTGTGGGATACTGTGATGCAAATTGGGTTGGATGTCCGATCGATAAGCATTTTACTTCTGGATATTGTATTTTGATTGGTGGAAACTTGATTTCATGGAAGAGTACGAAACAAGATATTGTAGCAAGATCAAGTGTTGAAGTAGAGTACTGTGTAATGGCCATTGTTGCGTGTGAGATTTTATGGTTAAAGCACCTCCTTCAAGAATTGAGATACGAAAGCATGAAACCAGTGCAGTTGATGTGAGATAACCAAGCGGCAATGCATATCGCATCTAACAAAGTATTCATGAGAGGACTAAACCATCACAAGAGAAAATTTGAGGTCGCTTGCAACTTCATCCAAGAGAAAATTTTAAAAGGATAAATCATCACAAGTTATGTCAGCACGACACATCAGTTTGGACACATTTTAACAAATTCCCTTTGAAGTCATAAAATTTAATACATTTGTAACAAGCTTGGTGCATATGATTGATGTACTCCAGCTTGAGGGGGTGTTAAAACTCTAAACCCTAGCTTTATGGGTTCAGCGCACCATTGCCAAGTCCTCATCAGAAGCCGAATATTGTGCTCTATCCACTGCGGCATCTGAAATTCTTTGGATAAAATCACTTCTTCACGAGCTACGACACACCCTCTACCTACCCCATCGATTCTTCTTTGAGATAACAATGGTGTTGCTACATCTTCTGCCAATCCTACGTCTTCCATTCTAGAATGAAACATGTTGCTATTGACTTCCATTTTGTTCGTCAAGGCGTTCAATGTGGACTTCTTTGTGTTCGTCACACGCACCTCATGATCAACTAGCTAACATTCTCACCATACCGCGTCCACGACAACACTTTGATATTCTCAAAACCAAACTCAAGATTCTAGAAGGCGATCGAATACATGGCTATTCATATCATTGCAGATTTCAGTTACAGTCGTAATAATATATTGTATTAATTGTAAGATTACGGGTAAGCTTTTATAGTCGAGATAAAATGCTTCTGCCCTCGTGACACTATGGGAACCCGGTGCCGACGAATCTACCGACGAGTTGGCAGGCTCTGCGACCGGGAACAAGGAGCATGTATCATCCATCAATTTTGGGTCCATCGTCGTCCATTTCTTGATGCGCCATTTCAACCGACACTTGCCGCCGACAGCCGCAACAAGATTTCAGATCCTGCGCAGACAAGAGTCGCTTCTGCCGGAATCAATCCCAACTCTGTGCGGGAGGTCTTCAGATGGAGTGGAGAGAGCGCCCGTCACCACTCACCGTGAAAGGGGATTGGGTTTGAGATTGAAAGGTGCGGTTGCAGGGAAGAAGATTGGACAGTAGCCACTTGCAAACTCAAGCACGACGAGGCATACTCTGGAAGGGGACGAAGCAAACTCAAAGAGGGTGAGGCAACCACTGGCAAACAACAGTATCTCAGACAAGAGTATCTCACGGAGGGGAAGGCAACCACTAACAGACGTTGATATTTCAGGGAGGACCATATTTCAAAAAGAAATATGAAAAACAAATGCCTAGCTTCTTACATATCACCACTGTTCTAAAAATCGGCCGAGTCGGACCGATTAATTGGCCTAGGCGGCCCTAAATGTAGAGGCTTAATCGGCCAAAAAATCGACCTAGTCGGTCAAAAAAATCAGCTTAGTCGGCCACCTAGGCACTAGGCGCCCCTGAACCGCCCGACTAGCGCCTAGCGAGTTTTAGAACAACCCATACCACACCAGCAAAATTGGGAAAACAGCTAGTTATGTTTTTGTGAGGAATAACCAACGACCACCTGCTCAAGATCGAAGGAAAGGCAAGCATCTCTTGGGAGGGTATAATTCGCAATCTTAGGGTTTTGAAATTCTTATTGAAAGCAACTTGTTTCATTTCAATATTGATGGCAATTTTATTCGCATTTCTGAATGAAAGAGGGATTTTTCATATGCGATTGATCTTGATCTTGAGAAGATTAAGACTCCATTCTCACGTTGATGTCTCATAATTGGTCTGTCTCTAGGCTTGAATTACATAATTCCATTCTTATTTTGCATGATTCTAATTTCTTTGGCGGTTTTTTTCGAATCATCAAGAAAGGTTGTGGCTCTTTATTTATACCTAAAGGTTGGAAAGGAAGAGGAATTAAGCATTTTCTAGCAGGAATTAATAGAACAATAAATTTGATGAGGGATTCTGTAACCGAGCAACCTCTAGCGTCTAAACCGATCTCATATCAGGTTGTTTCTAGTTCGATGGATTCTTGTCTTGAAAGGGATTTTATTCCTTTGTTGGACGAGAGTTACTCTAACCAGAATAATTTCTCCATTTTGGGAATATGGCTTCAAGTTGACATAGACCATTCTGCCTCTTCTGAGACACATGAGGTGTTGAACTCTATCGAAGATCTCAGTAGTTCTACACATTTACCAGGTTTTGTAATCATTAATGATTTTTTTGAGACAACTATGGCTAATGGGGTTGAATTTCTCTCTCGTTACCTTATTAAGGAATTTGAAAGAATTGTAGCCACTTGTATGGAAAATAGGGACTCTTTCGACAACAGATAAAGCTAATCCAAGTGAAAACTTTTTGAGAGAGGCTATTACAGGTAATATATGCTCTAAAGGGATTGATTGTGGGGAGGTATTTGCTAAAAAGGAACTCTCATATTCGGGAGATGAATATCTCAGCCATGCTTCGGAGAGCGAGAAGAGAACTACAATTTAACTTTAGGAACTCATTTCTCTCTAGGGAGGGTCTTCTACTTGTACTTGGGGTTGGGCTCTTTATTTATTTTCTTTTCGTTTGTTTTTATTTTCCTCTTTTTTTCTTTTTCCTCTTTTCTTTGTAATTCTTTTAGATATTTCATTAATAAAACTTTTTTCCTTAAAAAAAAAGTTTAAACAAAAAAATGTAATTAGTAAATAGATTACCTTATAGACTCTCCTCCTGGTGTAGTAATTGGACTTCATGATTAGTAATTCAATAAAGAATTTTCAACCTAAAATCATTTATCTTTCTAAAGTTCATTAAAGCTTACTCCACTACGGGAAGACTAAGACTCTTGAGAGTTGAGACTAGTATAAACCAAGGTGATCTATTCTTTAATAATATGATCAATAATTTCAGAGTAACTCTTTGGAGCTTTGATAAGATGGGACGCCACATTCTCTTGCCTCAGCAGAAAGTTCTTCATCTATATTGATTAAAATCTCCTTTTCATGTCAGAAACCCACATGTAAAACAGTTCTACATCTTAGTGGTGTTATTGTTAATAAATTATGTAACCTAGTGAATGCTAAACTCCATACTCTCGGTCCCACTATTCTTATCACAAACTCTATTTTCGGATGTGCATTAATGGATAGAGAGTATGAACTCAGCACATATATTTTCTTATTCTAACATTCTTCCATCTTGTAATGTGACAAGATATACACAGAATGACTTAGAAGTATAGTACATGTCTGTCATTGTGTCATCGAGATGCAATTCATGTGTCTAGATCTAATTTCATAATACGCAGAACTATAGAAAACACCAGTATATAAGAACAAAATTGCAGAACCAAATCTGAAAATCCCAATGATAGAATGAGCACAGACCTGTCCAGCTTTGATGAAAGAAGGCCCCAGGTAACACAAGAGCTGCCTTAACTGCACAGCCCGAAGAGGAACAACCTCTTGATCACGACCCACGGCATAATCATACAGCAAACTCGTCCAATATAGCCCCAAACTCCACACTATCTCTACACCTCTACCAAACAAGGACAATATTGCGCCCTTTGACTCCAACACCTTATTTCTCACCTAATTAACCAAAAAACCACTGTAAAAAACAGTCATCCCACATATAATAAAAACTTAATTGAAGAAAAAAAATAAATGAATCGGTAAAACTGCATAGGAATTAACTAGAAGTTTTACACACTGATTCAGAGGAATATTTACGAAAGGGGGTGCAAACTCCTCGCTCGAAGTCGAGCTGCTCGAGAAAACTGTTGGTTTTGAGTGCGTAGATTCTCGATGAAGGGAAGCGCACCTTCGATGGCTTAAAGGGATAAAAACTCTTCTCGCTGCTTCTCTTGCACTGAGTTTCAGAGGGAATTAATGACGAAGAGGACGAGTAGAAGCAACACTGGCCGCAAATCAGCATTTTCATTTCAACTGTCATTTCTTCGAATTGAGAAATGGGAATAAATCAGAGGATAAGAGACGGCTGGGCCGCCGGGCCGATGGGGGGCGCGGGACTTGGGACGAAAATGGGTGTGATATTATTCTGTAAACTAATATCTAGATTCTAGATACTATCTACTTCGTACGAAGTATTATTTAGAGAAAATTGTCTCTCATATGACTAAAACATCATGTGTTTCGCAATATATGACTTAGTTATGTTTTTTCCTATTTCGATGGTACAATATGGTTCACGCTAATTTTGAATTATTTTTCCAGATCTTATATTTAAAGGCTGCCCTTCATCGATCAATTAATAGTGGAAACATTTTGTCCTGATTTCTCGCAAATGATATGGATGACCTCGTATGCACATCCATGTTAAATATTTTTCCTAAAAACATAGACTTAATAAATACGGAGCAGTACATATGTGATATGTCATAAACGATTTTGTTTATTATTATTATTATTATTATTATTATTACTATTATTACTATTATTATTACTACTATTACTACTACTACTATTATTATTATTATTATTATTATTATTATTATTATTATACTTTTTTGAAACATGCTTTTATTCCTTAACACTTCTCCATTTCTTTATTGTCTTGATTTATTGCCCTTTCATTGTAGTCTTCTATTACTGCCATTTACTTATAGTACAACTTCTCGATTTATTGCCCTCTCATTATAGTCTTTTGTTACGGTCCTTTAATTATTGTACGTCTTCAATTAATGTCCTTTCATTATGCACGTCTTCTATTACTGCTCTTTTGTTATTGTATGTTTTCTATTATATATTGCCCTTTCATTAGAGCCCTTCGTTCTTCTATTACTGCCCTTCGTTCAATTACTGCTTTTTTATTATTGTGTACAGTTATTGCCCTTCCGTTACTGTCGAATTGTCGGTTATCAAATTATCAATTATCTAATCACAAATTAATTTCAAATACAACCAAATTAAGCAATTGCCACACCGCCGATCCCGATAATTCCGTTTAGTTTCCGTTTCATAACCAAATTAAATATATTTTCCTAATAGCCGTTTCCGTATACAATCCAGGGCAAAATTGTAACTTTACTCCTAATTAACTACCCATGTAATCGTATCCGCATGTTTTGAAGTCATGCAATACATGCACGTGTTTTGATGTCATATATTGGGAACTTGTGTGTCTTTTAGTCATAGGCCCTACAAGAAAAGTGCACATAGACCGCACGTAGATCATTTTTTTTTTGTGGTGGCCGCATAACTGTTGTTAAAAACACTATTAACCACACATTTTTTAATTTACCACATACAAAACTGTGGTAAAAGGTCAGAGACGACAGTTTTTAACCGTGGCCAATGTTTTTACCACGGCTGTTGTGGCGACGCACGTAAAACTGACGCAAAATTGTCGTAAATGTTCCTTCTTATGTTTTTACGACAGTTTTGCGACAGTTTTACGTGCGTCGGCACAACAATTGTGGTAAAAACATTGACCACGGTTAAAAACTGTCGTCTCTAAGCTTTTACCACATTTTTGTGTGTGGTAAATAAAAAAATGTGTGGTTAATGGTGCTTTAACGACGGTTATGCTGCCATCGCAAAAAAATTGTGGTCCATGTGCAGTCTATGTGCACTTTTCTTGTAGTGAGGGCTGTATTTTTGTAAAATTAAATTGCAAAAATTGATAAGAATAATCACATCTTTCATTGGTCTTCTCATAATAATTTCACATGTACATAATCCTGGAATAATCCTACCTTTGCACCACATCTTCTTTCATTAGACCCTTTTTTGAAAATCTTATATAAATAATCCCACCTTTGTAGGTCATCAATAGGTCAGGGTCCAATGAAAGAAGATGAGGTGCAAATGTGAGATTATTCTTGGATTACGTAAAGGTGTGATTATTATGAGAAGACCAGTGAAAGATGGGATTACTCTTATCAATTTTTCCAATTAAATAATTGTATTAAATAAAATTTGAATTAATTCATTGAATTACATCATAAAACTTGAACTATCATAGTTTATCAGAGTTATACAACCATGACATTTCTATGCGGGAAAAGGGTCAAATTAGCCACTATGGTCAAGGTAAAAGTGCAAATAAAACACTAACCTTTTTAAGTGCAAAAAACATTAAATTGAATACCTAATTGGCATTCTAGCCACTCACTAACGGAAGCAACAAACGGCACAAAACGGAGCTTTATTATAATGGACCTAATAAATCTGCTTTATCATTTCGTCTCCTTTTCCTAAAAAATTTGCAGACGTAATTCAAATCCTTAAGATTTTGGGAATGGTAGGAGTTCTACAACTACTTGATCATCATGTAGTCCTTAGGTAATAAAGAGCTTGTGTTTACTAAAATGGATTCTTAAGCCACAGTACTGTATTTAGCTCATAAAGTTCAGCATATCACGAGGTGCTTCTCTGATTCATTATCAAATTAAGTGCTACCTTGTATGAGCTAACAGGTATTAAAGAATATAAATAAATTTATACTCCAATCAGTGTTGGGTTTCGGGTAGAAAAACGCAGCGGAATAAACGAAAAATTTACTACCCAAAATATACAATCGGATCTAAGGTTCATATTATAAACGAAATTACAAGACATAAGAGGAACTTACATAGCAATCTTAGTCAAGGATGTCAGATAGTCCGAGAAAACGATCCCGAGCTGTACCGGTATCCACACGCACGTGACTGGATCGGCCGCAAGGAATGTGATAGCGTTCTCTTCTTTCTTCCTCTCTACTCTAGGTTTTAAGAAGTGAATTTTTAACTCTTGAAATTCGTGGGTCTATATAGCCCTATTTATAAGAGGAGGAAAGAAGGGGTTTTATAGCTAATAAAACTCTCCTAGAGGCCCTTGCCCAATACCATTCGAAACCCTATTTCGAATTGAGCTAATCAGGCTATTTTAATGTTATTAACAAACATTAATGATCCAAATCACTTAGGTGTGTGACCCTGTAGGTTTATATATTATTGGCAGTGGGCTAGAAAATTAATTCGAGCCTCACAAATCTTAATCGGACTCTAGCAAGGCATTATGACTATCCAAAAATATATAAATGTCAAAATCTGACATAACCTTGTAATGATTAATTTGTGTTAATAATTCTCTTTTGTCAAACGATATCTTAATTGAGACAAGGTTCGGTCGTGTCATCCTTGTTATTCTCAATTAATATTTCTTGATTACCAAGTAAGATTAATCTTGAGCAAATGACACCTCATTTGAGCATGGTCATGCTTATTAATCTTACTTGTCAAGGGCCCCAATAGATATCTTTCTCTCGCTATACAAGAGTGATAAAAACTATCTTGATAATTCACATACTACTACATGGTTCATAATATGCACAATCACCACTTTTATAATTATCTAATTAAAGATAACATTTAATGATGTGCTTATTAAATATGTGCTTAATACTATTCCACTTCATATTTTGGCTGTTGATACTCTGCCTAAGTCTGTAAGTAAAAGCCTTGAGAGGAGGATGTCAAATTTCTTATGGAGGGCTGATGCTAGTAGGAATAAGGCTCATTGGATTAGATGGAAGGAATTATGTTTGCCCTATGCAGAGGGGGGACTAAATATTAGATCTCTTGGCGAAATAGAGAAAGCCTTTTCTCTAAAACTATGGTGGAAGTGGAAGAAAAATAAATCCTTTTGGGCTACTTTTTGTCATTCAAGATATCACAGAGATACAGATATGACATTCAACCAATCTGATTCCAATATTTGGAAAAGAATCTGTAAGACACATGACTTGGGTCAGAATCTTATTACTTACTCTCAAAATGGGGATATCTTATGGCTACCTGAAAGTAGTGGTAGGTTTACCTTATCTTCTGCTTTTCAGGAGGTAAGAAGATCAGTAAATTCTCTTTTCTCCTTCAGGCATGCCTGGAATAAGTATCAAACAAACAAAATTATTACTTGGCATATTTGGAAAATTTACTCAGCTTATGTGTGGGGTTCGAGTTCAATACCTAAACCAGAACACCTGATTATTCAAATCAAGATGTTTACTCAGAATCGGACCTACACCTTGACTAAAATCAAATGCCGGACTGTGGAAAAATTTCTATTCAGAGAAAATCTCATCCCGGTTCATTTTCAGTTCAAGAGGGCTGGTATTCAGAATATAAAATGGAGAAGACCCAAGCAAAGCTTTAAGTTAAATGTTGATGCTTCCTTCTTACCTGGTTGTGCGACAGGGGGAGCTATACTTAGGAATCGTGCTGGCGAGCTAGTTTGGGCAGCTAGTTTCGGCGTCCAGGCGTATTCCGGGGAAGAAGCGGAACTTAGGGCTTTGATTTTTGCTTCAGAGATGGCTTTGGAGGACGGTCTGTATGATATTCAGGTTGAAAGTGATGCATCTCGAGCGATTTCACAGGTCTTGGATGATTCAGGCAAGCTCGCTGAGTTCAGGAGAAAAGCAACAGGCAAGGGCTTTACCTTCGGACATGTTCTTAGGGAAGGTAACGGGCCGGCACATCATCTAGCTGCTTTGTGTTTGGATTCGGCCCAAATTGTTCTTTTTAATCAGGTAAATCAGTTGCCTAAGGTGATTAAATGTAGCTACTATGCTGATCTGTTTGGCTTTCCTGTTTTGCGATTTTAATTCATGTATTTTATTTTTGGGTCAGGCCTAGCCCCCTAAAAAAAATTCATTTCTTTTTGTTTTGGATCTTCATGTATTTCTAAGAGGAATGCCTCTGCTGAGAGGTTTGGTCCGGCCCACCTATCATTTTGTACTTCAACTATAATTTAATAAAATACAGGCAAATGACCCCCGGCATTTGCCCCACTGATGGGGTGGTTTACCTTCCGGGGTAAAAAAAAATCAAACAAACAAAATTCAGATCTTTCAATGGAGAGTTATTCATAAAATTCTTCCTTTCCCTGATAATTTAGGAAGATTCAATCTAACAATGTTCCCAACTAGGTGCCCCTTATGTAAACATGCGTCTGACACTATGGACCATGTCTTAGTTAGCTGTTATTATAATTGGAACATTTGGAGATATTTTTTGGGGATCTTTGAAATTCCCTTTCCCAATAGATTGTCAACTATGAGACAAATGCTC